CAATGCTGTTCGGTTCTATCAGTTATATGTATTCAGTCCTTCTCAAGCGTTTTATTTATCATCATTGTGTTGTTCTAGTTTTCCTCGGGGCAAAAACAGTAGCTCGAACTTTAACATTGCGTCCCGTTTTGAATAGGTTTACAAGAGAAGAGAAGTGTCAGCTGAGTTGGTAAAGAGAGCCGAGAGAAATGGATTCAAGGCTATTGTATTGACAGTTGATACTCCTAGATTTGGTAGAACAGAGGCAGACATAAAAAACAAGTAGGTTCTTGGTCCCTTTCGGTTAGATCCTGCTTCCTCAATCTATCAGTTTCCATGTTTATATAATCATTTCATGTTAATGCAACACCATTTTTAATGTTTGACACTGTTAAATTCATAGTTGGTGGTCTCTCATGCTACTTCAGAGAGAAGCATTTAATTTTAAAACATGTTTTTGATGACTATTGCAGGATGATTGCACCTAAACTGAAGAATCTTGAAGGCCTTATGCCGACTGAAATTGACTTTGTGAGTGGAATACGGTTCATTTCTTAGATTTTGCTCGTAGTTTTATTATATTTTACTATGAAAATCTTTTCCTTTCATCAAGAAATCATTATTTACTGAAAGCTTCATTTGATTAGCAAATATTAACCTCGAAAATATGACAAACTCAAGCATTAGCGCATATATTTGCGATTATGTCTTTTTGAGGGAGCTCCAAAACAAGTAGTCTTACTTATTTGGCTTTTTTTTCTTGGAAATTTCTGTTATAAATACTCAACTAAGACAAATTCATAGATACAGGATGATGGCTCAAACCTAGCGGCTTATGCCAATCGGGATATGGATGCTTCTCTGTGTTGGAAGGTAGAAATCGGCTGATTGTTACCTTTTTCTGAGCTGTAGGCAATAATATTTTTACTCTGAAGTTTTATTTTTTATTTTTTATATTATATATCTTGCCTCTTTTTCTTGTTTGAAAAGCTACTATAAATATGTATGGAATAAACAGAGTTTTTCATTTGGTATCTCGCAACTTGAAGCCTGGAGTTATATGTTACTGTACTTCCTATGTTTTATACTCTTGTGTGCATGATTTTGGTTGGAATGCAGACATGGATTGTTGTTTTCTAATGTTTCAGTCAGCTTATTTAGTGCCAAAAAAAAATAAAAAATAAAACATCCACAGGATATTGAGTGGTTAAGATCAATCACGAACTTGCCAATCCTTGTCAAGGGAGTACTCACTCATGAAGATGGTAATTCAATGGCTTCATATTATGAATGTTTCCTTCATTTCTAAGAACTAGAAGTCGACCCTTATTCAATATGTGATGTCCAAACATTTTCAGCAAGAAAGGCTGTTGAAGCAGGCGTTGCTGGGGTTATCGTCTCTAATCACGGTGGCCGCCAGCTAGATTTTTCTCCTGCCACTGTTTCAGTCTTAGAAGAGGTGAGCAGTATTTCAGCTAGTTGTCGTTCTTCAGAATGAAAATTCTCCTTTAGCTTTTGGTAAGCTCTCTTGTTATGGAAAGTCAATGAGGAAGGTCCTAATGTTTAACTACTTATGGAATGTGATTTTCAGGTGGTTCATGCTGTTGGAGGAAAAGTTCCTGTTCTGTTTGATGGCGGAGTACGGCGAGGAACTGACATCTTCAAGGCGTTAGCCCTCGGTGCCCAAGCTGTACTTGTGAGCTCTTCCTCGTTTTATAGTAGAAAACTTAATCCATGACACCAAGTAATAGTAGAAAATACGTATTAAATGCTTGTGCCTCACTTCACTTTCTTATTTGTAAACCGCAGGTTGGAAGGCCAGTTGTCTATGGCCTAGCCGCAATGGGGCAAAATGGGGTACGAAGTGTAATTGAAATGCTGAAGAATGAGCTTGAGCTTACCATGGCCCTTTCTGGCTGTCCTACTCTTAAGGATATCACGAGGAGTCATGTGAGGACGGTTAATGAAAGTTTCCACTCAAAGCTTTAATTTCTTTTCAATGTGTAAGCAATGCATTACTGCTTATGGATCATCTTCTGTACATACAATAATATGATATTTCATTTGTCTGAAAATATTCATGAATACTCAGATTTGGAATGTCTCGTGTAAGAGCATCCAGCCATAAGCATTTATCTACCGCATCTTATTATATTCTACTGAACTCAACCCACCTTTTTGGTTTCCAATGTATACAAAATGAGCACTGAAAAGAGATGTATGTTTCCTTGAATCAGAGAAGAAAGTTATATGTCTGGTAAGATGGAGAACTCTCTCTAATACCAAACACTTACTATCGAAGCAATATCACAGAGGCAAATGAATAGCAGCAAAAGCAATATAATCAACCATATATTCGAAGTGTCACGCAATAGTATTATACCATGAAAAATAATAAACATAATAACAAGCATCCATCTTGTTTTGTTCATCCTACAATATATTCAAATATCGCTCATCACAAATTGGGTACAAAAATTTGACCTGATAGCTTGGGGCCATTAGAAATTCCACTCTAGATACATGTAAGAGTTATTCCACACAGATGTCCACGGACATTCGACAAATCAACAAAATAAATTAGAAATTTCAGCAGTGGCATCAGGAACCCTCCCTGGGCCCCCGCAATACAAGAAAAAGGAGCCAAAAGTGAAGGATTCAAAGGTGTTTATAAAGTCATCCTACTGTACCAGAAATCTAATGTCTGTAATTTACTACACCACACTTTTCTACACATTATTTACAGATACAACTTATTGAAAATTCCTCCACAGTTCTTGACTTCGATCTTATTGCCACAATTAGAATGATTTGGACCATGACAGCTGTACCGTTATTTCCAGACTAAATGAATTGTGGTCATCATGCCTTCAATCTCTTCCCCTCTCCAATGCCTTTTAACAGTATGGGGGTTGATAAGAAAACTCACAAACAAGACTGCTAAAGAGGAGGACAGTTTCCACTATGCATTACTGACAGAGTTACTCTTGTTCGCACCTTGAAGGTCCATAGGAGAATTAGTGATACTACCAACTGAGCCGAGGGTTTGAGAGCTCAACTGTGGGCTGGCCGGACATGCCTCTGGGTTAGCGGCACTCATGGCATGAATAGCCCCAGCACTCATCTGTGGGCTCATCGGAGTTCGTTGGCTCATTTGCTGTGGGCTGGCCTGTTGCTGTGGCGGCGGCTGCTGCTGCTGCTGCTGGTTTGCTGGGTTTGCTGGGTTTGCTGGTTCATTTGTGGAATTCCCATGGTTGAAGGTGAGCCAACTTGCGGTGGGGAAACAACAGCCTGTAGCGATGAGGTTGTTTCTTGATGCTACTGCTGCTTCCACTGCTGCATCTGTTGTTGCTGTTGTTGTCGCAATTGCTGTTGCTGCTGTAGTTGGTGCTGTAATTGCTGCTGTAGTTGCAACTGTCGCTGTTGTTGTTGCTGCTGGTTCATGCATATATTCATTCCTGCCATCAACTTTGGAGGACCCATAGCTGCCATTGGTGCTCGTTGCATCGGGCTGATGTTCCCTCAGTTCAAAGGCTGACCAAGAATTGAGAGACCAGCAGAGCCTGGATGCACCTGTCTGGCTCCCGAAATCCCTGCTATGCCCGACTGGGGACTGCCTAACATTGTTGCTCGGTTTTACGCCATCCTAAGTTTTGATGCCATGATAACTGCTGGTGCTAACGTCCCAGACCGTATATGTTGGCTTATTGCATTGCCAATATTTGAAGCCTGGCTTAAATTCATTTGGTTCTGCCCCACGTTTCCCATTCCAGATATAGGTGTCATGGGCGCTGAGATTCCTGTTCCACTTATTCCCCTTGCATTTGCCATTCCCATTGCATTGCCATGGCCTGCAATTCCAACCATGTTATTGCCTACATTTTCCATACCCACAGCCGTTCCAAGACCCATCATCATTTTCCTCTGCATTTGAGGTTGCTGCTGCTGATGCTGTTGTTGTAAGAGCTGAAGCTGGAGAGCGGAAGGCTTGATCACCATGTGATTACCCAATTGTATATTCGAGTTCTGCCCAATTGCATTGAAGTTTGAAAGAGGGTTTGTTGCAAGCATCATTGATCTCTGAAACTGGGGATGCTGCTGTTGAATGAATTGGTTTGGCTGCTGTTGCTGCTGCTGCTGCTGTTGTTGCTGCTGCTGCTTCTGAGGAAGTAATGACTGTGACTCAGGAAGCTGTGGCCGAGGGGGCATTGAAGCCCCAGATAAGAGCCCTTGAAACATCTGCAAGGCCTGAGTGGTTCCAGGTGGCAGCATCCTCGAGTTTGCCAGAAGATTCTGGGATGGGTTTAGAGATGTATTACCGCTACTAGTTGGCTTGACAACTTCATTGGATGGCTGGCCAGAAACTGCTTCTTCGTATTGTTGCATCTCAACCACTGAATTATTAGGATGCATCCCAGCAACATTTGATTGATTGCCAATTGCAACATTGATGCGGGGCTTAGGTTGGATATCAAACTTTTCTGTTCAAATTTATGAACCAAACATGCCTAAAGTACTTTGAATTTCTGATTATGATTATAATATGGAGTTGTCTATAGTCCCCCACTTTAAAAATGAAGGACAAGTCCTTTTATGTGTTATTATAACAGGCCCATGTGTCAATCGTAACCGGCTAAAAACTTAGCACAATTCTCTTATATTGAGCCGTAATAGTTACTATTTTAAAAATTAGAAGAGGTTTTTAAACATACAACAATAAAGAACTGTCATATACACCTGTCATTAATAATTAGATGAAAAATATTAAAAGGCACAACAATAAATGTATACACATGTCACGAATAATTGTACGAAAAATATTAAAAGGCACATCAATAAATGACTGTCGTTTTTACTGTTAATATCAGTAATTCCATCGTAACTGACTGTCGTTTAAACCTAAATGATATTGTCGTGAAAAATTATATTTGTTAAGTTCTTTTTTAATAGCCACATACGGTCATACATGAACATTTGATTGGAGCAATATATGATAGTGTTTTATTTATTATGTGCTTAAAAATGACTTTTAGTTCTCAAAATAGTAATCATTAGGATTCATATAAGATGTTGAGTAATCTCAGGAAACACAACATAAAGCAGAGAAGGGAGTTGCACCAAGTGAAGTCGTTTGCTGATTCAAACTATTAGAACGCAGCGTTTTGGGAAAATGCCCCAGCCTCTATCCAGTAAGGTGAAGACACGTGCAAAAGGCGGTGAACATCATTTAATAACCTAACAAGATGTTTTGGCTGGGTCTCAATTCATTGTCTTGAGCATTGTTTCTGCAAAAAGAGAATTCTAGAGAGAGAACCTCTGGGTTTTAGAGAGAGATAGGAGAACCTTTGGTTTTCCGGTAAGAGAAACTGTAAGTGAGGGTTCAAGAAAAGAAACTGGGAGAGGTTTGTATTGGGTATTCTTCCACTGGGTATTCCTTTCGGGTTTGCTTAAGTTTTCTCTGGGTTTGCTCTAAATTAGGGTTCTTGAGAGATCTGGAATTGATGCTTTCCTTGTATTGTGAGATTTGAGGGTGTAACAACTTTATCTGATAGTGAATCGAGCTTCTCTGAGGAAGAGCTCAACGGGGATGTAGGAAATTCATTATTTCTGAACCTCGGTCAAACAAATCCTTTTGTGTTCTTGTGTTTTCTGGATTTGGTTCATATTTGTGATTTATTGTTTATTCTGCTAGTCTATGTTAGAATTGTTCTAACAGTGGTATCAGAGCCCAAGGTTAGTCAGCGGATTCCAAGAATTCCGGTGGACTCACGCTAGGGTTTTGATAATCTGTATCAAAACCTCGAGGAATTCGAAACTCATGGGGATCGCAAGATTCGAGCTTGAGAAGTTCGATGGAACTGGGAATTTCGGCCTTTGGAGGAAAAAGCTGAAGGCCATCCTCGTACAACAGAGGGTGGCAAAAGTACTGGGTGACATGAAGGATGTGGCGGTGTCTGAAGACGAGAAGGCCGAGATGCAAGAAACTGCATATTCAAGATCATTCTGTACCTTTCTGACAATGTTCTCCGACAAGTAAATGAAGAGGACACGGCGGCTAAGGTATGGCTAAAACTGGAACAACTTTACAGGACGAAGTCTTTAACAAACAAGATTTACTTGAAAGAAAGTTTATTCAGTTTTAGAATGGACCCTCAGAAAGGTTTAGAAAAGAATCTTGATGTGTTTAATAAAATCATCATTGATTTAGCCAATATTGGAGAAAAGGTAGAAGAAGAAAATCAAGCCATAATCTTGCTTATCTCTTTGCCCGAGTTTTATAAGGATGTGAAAAATGCCATTAAGTATGGCAGAGAGAGTTTGACTCTTAAAGACGTACTGTCGGCATTGAGATCTCGTGACTTGGAAATTAAAAATGAGTTGAGTCAAAAAGGAGATGAAGGTTCGTTCTCTAGAGGAAGACTTCAGAAAAGGGATCATGATCGATCCAAGAACTGACCCACTCTAAATCAAAATCTAGGAATGGACAGAGGAAGTGCTTCTTCTGTAACAAACCTGGACACATTAAGAGATTCTGTAAGGAGTACAAGAAGAAGCTTGCAGAGAAAAAGATAGAGAATGCAGATGCAGCTATGGCAACTAAAGATGGAGGCTATGAAAGCTCTGAAATGTTGGCGGTAGGGGAAAACCAGAATGATGAGAAATGGATACTTGATTCTCGGTGCACATATCACATGTGTCCCAGGAGGGAGTGGTTCACAGAATACAAAAGCATAAATGGTGGAAAAGTCCTAATGGGCAACAACCATTCATGCTCGGTGGTTGGTACAGGTTCAATAACAGTCAAACTAAACAATGGGTTATCTCATGTTCTGGCAAATGTGAGACATATTCCAGAACTGAGGAGAAACCTAATCTCGCTAGGAGCCCTCGATGATGCTGGGTATGTGTGTAAAGTAGAAGGTGGAGTTCTAAAGATTCTAAGAGGCTCTTTGGTGATTCTAAAGGGATTGAAGCATCAAGGCCTCTATGTTCTAGAAAGCCAGACGGTAACAGGTACTGCAGCCACAGCAACAAAGGACAAAGCTCTGGCATCTCTTTGGCACAAAAGATTGGGCCATGTAAGTGAGAGGGGTTTGCAAGAGCTCAACAAGCAATGTCTACTTGGAAAAGAGCATATTGGACACTTAGATTTCTGTGAACATTGCATCTTGGGGAAGCAGCACAGGTTGAAGTTCTTAG